AAAATGTACTATATAAGGGGATACGACTAGTTGTCAACTTCTCCCTCCCCAAGGTCATTGTTATTTCTCTCTTGCTTGCTTATATAACGTCTCTTTCGAAAATCTCTCTCTGCTCTCATTTTCTAAAATCTTCTCTTAAAACCGAGGCCAGAGGCTCGAGCATACGTCGCTTGGCCGTAGGCGACGCAAGAATGAATTGGCTTAACTCACTTGTTGTTGGAAAGTGAGTGCTGCACAATCGCAAGTTCGCTGCCATTAAAAGTGTGATTGTGACACTCAGCACTCTGCGGGATCCCTCTCTGAACGAGAAGGGAATTCTCCATTTAGACGAAGATTGAGAAGGGAGTGGAGAATATATTTTTCCCGTTAGATAAATGGGGTCGGAGATGGGATTATATTTCTCATCTTTGTCCCGATTAATACATATATATATTTATTTAAAATTTTAGAAATTAAAAAAAAAAAAATAGTTAAAACTATGGCTAGCGTATAAAATTTGTCCAACAATAAACACGAGTCAAAATAAAAGTAAATATGAATTGACTTCACGTACGAGTTGGATAATTAAATTTCAATAATGGTGTTCTTACAAGGAAAAAGAAAATTTATGAAGGTATTATTTTATCCTATTTTAAGAAAACATTAACCAACAATAAAAAAAAAAAAAATTATTTGTTTGTTCTTATATGCTTTTCATCCATTTTAATTTTCATATGAAAAAGAAAAATCCATCTAATATTTGAGTTATCATAGCCTTATAAGGAATGTTTTATCAGAGCCAGAAACAGAGGGGTGTGTCAACTAGGACACTGGGCCCCAAGGAGGTAGTTGTGAAATCTCACATTGGTTTGAGAGGGGAACAAAACATTCCTTATAAGAATGTGAAAACTTCTCTCGAGTAGACTCATTTTAAACCCATGAGGCTATAAGAAATGTTTTATCAAAGCCAAGAGATGGATTGTGAGATCTCACATTAGTTTGAGAGATGAACGAAACATTTCTTATAAGACTGTGAAAACTTCTCTCTAGCAAAAACTATGAGTAAGGTTGACGACGATACATAAGGAGCCAAAGCACAATATCTGTTATGGGTTTGGGCTATTACATTTCCACACACTTATACGAAATATATCGTTCCCTTCTCCAACCAATATGGGATCTCCTATAGATGAACCGTACTAGATTTGATCAGCCATGTTAGTAGTAGTGTGCATCGAAGTCATCATCTTTGGAGGATAGTCTTGTGTGCAGTCACTAATCATATTGGGAAAGAGCAGAGCTCATATCTTCACGATTTGAGCTCTCCCCTCCTAAGACTATGTCGTATCTTATCCAGTTGTTGCTTGTCCCAAATCGAATCTGATTCTCGTAGAGACGATTGTACCAATACCCATGAGAAATATACATCGATATCATCTGTAATATGTTATGATCGTCGAAAGAAGATAATGATACACGAAAAGCATCCTATGAAGGAGTGGAGATTTAGCAAAGAGAAAAGGGAAAGTGAAAGAAGAAGGCAAAGAAAGAATAGTGAATTAGGAAAGGATTAATAATGGTTTAGTAATGATTAGAAGCAAAGCATGGTTAAATCTCCAACAAACCTGATCTCATACTAAATCTTAATACAAAAGTAGCTTTTCTTCTTTGTTGGGATTCAATCTTCCATCCTTTTCCCCCACATTCATATTGATTTTTTTTATTTTTTTTTTAATTTGAAAATGAACGGTGTTGATTTTATTTTCTCGGTTTTCTAACGGCTCTGATTGAATTAGATAAAAAACGACACTCAAATACGTCGAGCTTTGTCCAACATTCTGATGATTTTTTTGTACCCTAAAAATATTTTTTAACCTTTTATAAAGGTAAAAGATAAATATTGTAGCAAAAAAAAAAAAAAATGTATATAAATTTTACTATACTAAATTAATATAAAAAATATAACCTTCAAAATTTTCAATAATTTTGGATAGAAATGGTAATTTATTTATTTTTAAAATATCATTAAACTTTTAAAAATATTTCAAAATTAACCTTTTTAACTTCTAAATTTTTTTTTAGTATAATTAGATTTTTAACAAAATATTAATAGGATAATTAGTAAGATTATTTATTTAAGAGTATAAAAATATAAAAAATGAAATAGAGGAGAGAGAAGGAAGGGACACGTGGAGAGTTATAATTGGTGAGGATTTTAGTAGCACTGAAACCGAAAATAAGAGCGACATGACCATATGGCTTGCAACTGAGTTCCTGCAAAACCAGTGAACTTCTCCGCACACGGTTTTCCAAATTTTGTACGTACGATTTTTCTTTTGGGAGGAAAAATCACATACGACCGGCACCACAGTTTGCTTTTTTTTTTTTTTTTTTTTTTTTT